CTCCCCGCCGTGCCGGGCAGAGGGGATGCCGGTCCCGGTCCCGGGGGGCTGGGGGTCGCGCATCCCTTCCCAACCGAGCGGGTGCAGCTCACCGGATCGATGTGGGACCCTGCCCCCAGGGTGCCTTTGCCCACCCCCCCAGCCCTGCGGCAGGGCCAGTCGGGACACAAACTGGTACCGGTTTCCCTTTGCTGGTCAGGTGGGTGAAAAGCCAGCGGCTCGTAAGCAAGCCTGTGGGGGTGTAAGCACTTGTTAGGGGAAGTTATGGTCGTAGAAAGGGAGGTGACTGGTGTTTCCAGATGGAGCTGATCAGATCCAGAGAGTTTCCCTAGCTGGGGAAGATGCCGGTGGTCTCATAAAGCCATGGAGGGCCTGATCCCCACCCTGCTGGAAGGTGGCTGTGTTCCCACATGTGTGCGATTCCCGCCTGCAGCTTGTGGCATCAGGCTCGTGTAGCTGTTAGGCTTTGATCTGGGATATGAATAAACCTGCCAGGGCTTCAGGCCAATTTTGCAGAGAAGGTCCTGGCTTTCTGCTGGGACTGGCAGGTCCCTGGACAGGAGCAGAGGGAGGTTTTCAGGGGGATTGCTGCTTCAGAACAGTGGCGCAGGGTTGCAGAGGAGGAGCAGGTGCTGACATGGTGTAGCACAGAGGTCCTGGCCCTTGACTGGTCCTCGGAGGTGCTGCAGCAGCACCAGCCAAAAATGATAACAGGCATGCCAGGGACATTGCTCCAGCTCTGCGGGCTGGGACCACACTGAAGACCCAGGGTGGTTCAGGCAGTGCTGCGTCTGCAGCTCTGGGTCAGCACCAGAAAGACCTGAGGGTCAAGAGTTCCCCTTCCCGATGTAAAAGGATGGGGTGGTGTTTCCGCAGTGGAAACACAGTTATGAGGACTTTGACTTGGACTGCAGCTCGCAGTGTCTGTGCTCAGAGAGCAGTGTCAGTGCCCAGCAGCCTGGGAGGGGACGGGGACGGTGACAGGGACAGCCTTCCCCCACGGCTGTGGCTCGCCCTGCCTGCCAGCCAGACAGGGTGGCTTTGCTGGCTCTGAAGGAGGGTGCTGTTGCGGGAGGGGGAGTATTGTCAAATGACACACGATGCCAGAGCTGTCCTTCGAGGTTCCAGAGGACCTCCCCGATGGGGATTGGGGAGAGCAGACGGTCTTGGCCTTCCCTGTTCTTTTGCTGTGCGAGCTGGTGGGAGGCTACCCTGTTTGCATCCCAGCCCACCCCAAAAATCAAACCTGGGACGTCACCACAGGGAAGGGCAGGGGGTGCCCAGCACGCTGCAGCAACCATCCTGGAGCATTGTGGAGACGGGCCCGGGCATGGCGCAGCCACTCTGCAGGCTGGCCCTGCCAGGGGGAGAGCCGCTCTGCTGTTTTATCCCCCTCGCTGGTGCCTTCTATGGTAGCAGCAGCAGTGCCTGCCTGCTTTGCTTTGAGTGCTTGTAATGAATTGCTGTTGGCACCTGGATGGCTCTTTGCTAATGTAAACCTCGTCCAGACCCTCCTGCTCATCACCCAGAGCCGCTGGATCCCTCTGGGGGCTGTGGCTCATGGAGGGAAGTTGTGGGGGTCTCGCCGGGCTCCCTTTCCTAGTGCAAGGGGTGCTGGGTCCAGTGGTGGGTAGGATCTCTGT